TTGAGCTTGGGTCCTTGCTAGATCCCCGGCTCACCTACATCCTTTTTTGTGTTCCCATAATTGCATTGGAATGAAATCCCAAGACAGTGTTCTCCCTTCCTATTTCCTTCACGTGCAACCATTATTTGTTCACATAGGAGGAATCCTTTTATTTCCATCCCTTGAGTTTTTAAACTACTGTCTGAAAATACAGGTGGTTTTTTGTTTGTTTGTTTGTTTGGTTTTTGTTTTGGTCCCAGGGATCGGATTTAGGCCTTGTGCTTGCGAGGCAGGCGGCAGAACCATTGAACCAAGTCCCCAGCCCTGAAAATAGGGTTTTATCAGTGGTACATAGCATACAATTACAGTAGAAAGGTTGGATGCAGAATGTCATAATTATCTCACCTCACAGGGGCTATTATGGGAAATAAGCAAAGAATATCTTCCTCAGATAACATTCTGTTAATGTGCTTTGTGATAATAAAAATGGGCAAAATTTTAAAAAATAAAGTAAAAGCTTCCGTTTTATGCCATTTGTTTCTTACATAAACAGTACATAGAGAATGTTTTGAGTAATCAAACAGAGCATTGTGTATGTGTATGGCACTAGGTCTTGATTCTAATGCTTAATAGCAGTTTACAAGTACTGTTAGTGGTATTCTGCATGTACTTATTTTTTGGTTTTGTTTGTTCGTTTGTTTTCTGGTTTTTTGATAAAGGGTCTTACTATGTAGTAGAGACTGACCTGGAATTCACTATGTAGCCCAGGCTGGTCTCGAACTCAGTCATCCTCCTGTCTCAGCCTTCAGAGTGCTGGGATTACAGCCCTGCGCCCCCACGTTCAGCATTCTGCATGTACTTATAACGGTTTTAGACCATGGATTCTCTAAAGTGTTGCATGACTTTGTGAATATCAATAGGGAGACAATGGGGATGCTTGTCCTGAGGCTGACTTATCAGTGGGTGCAGGAGGGTATGTGTTTTTACTTCATATGAACGCTGTTTTATTGTCTAGACTCAATTTTAAACAGAAGTTCAAAAAAGTGTGCATTATTTAATGAATGTTTTTGGTTTTCTAGAATTCTTTGCTGAACTGGATAAAGTAATGGGCCCTCTCATCTTTAATGCAAGCATCATGACAGATCTAGCTCGTTACACCCGGCAGGGACTACACTGGCTTCGCCAGGATGCCAAGTTGGTATCTTGAACTGAACACATTCTCGTTGCCTCTGATTTTCTCCACAACACTGTGTCACATCACAAAGGAAAACTGCCATAACAGGTCACCTCGTCAACACTAAGAATGAGGAATGGTTTTCTCCTCCTTGGTTCATGTGCTGTTGTTTATAACCCAAAGCCATCCTATCAGTTGACCCCTTCAATATTCCCAATGTGAAAAATTATTTAAATCCTGTTCAGTCTGCAGCACATTGATAAGATGGTTTAGTATCTGTAATATGATTGAAATTGTAGTTGCAATTTACAACTAACCAAGTGAAATTTTATTTATTGTAATTCTTTTAGGTTCCCAAATTGGGGCTTGTTTATAACTTAGTTATTTCTGCTTATAAATTTATTCTGTTGCACATTTAGTATAACTGTAATGTAAGCATTTTTATTTATATATTTTGGGAGCTTCATTACCTAAAGTCTTTTTGTGATAGCTCTTCTATGAGTAAAATAGGGAAATGTTCTATCTGTACTACCTGATACTATTTCAAATCTTATTGTTGTAAAATTTATGCTTAGTACTAAGCATATTCTTCTATACATGAGAAATCATTTAAATATGAGGTGACATTCAATGTGGATGTAAAAAAAAGTGAAATGTGTGATTTGGTATGCATTATTTCAAAAAGCTGTGAATGTGTTAATAACACTATAGCAATCACAAGGTGACTGTAACTTGCATTTAATGCATTACAGAAGAGAGCAGGCAGACTTCCTAGGAGAAGCATATTTTGAAGGGTTTCATGAAAGGACAATCTTACTCTTCGTGGATTTTGTTAAAACTCTTCTTTCTGTTGCTTATCATTTGACACTTAATTGAAGCAGAATAAGTTACTCTTGGAAAAGGATGATTTAACAACTCCTGAGGATTGCTGCCTACATCTCTTTAATTAATAACGTCCAAAGGTTTAAACCTCTTTGGAAAAAAATCTCCCCCTTACTTGCTTGTGATGCTCTGATACGAGCACACAGTGACTGATACTGCTCGTGTGTTTGCTTTTGCTGTACAACTTACAGTGCTAATGCCTGATGTAGAGATGATGAATTTCTCCATTTTAAAGGCCCCCATTACTGATGTATGTTTCTCTAGTATCAGAAAATTCACCCAGAAAAGTACCAACGGTTCCGTGTGAGCTCTTGGCAAAGGGGAGGAGCAGTGATAGAGCTTAAGAAGCCAGTGCCGTAAGAATTGTATGTCAAAGTACCCTTCCCTACAAGGTGCATATAGGAGTCAAGGGTGAGAAACGTGCCCTCTATACTTAGTTTTGAGTGCCCCTATCATGTCTGGTGTGCCTTAAATCTTACCTTTAAATGGAGACTTTGTGGATTGTTTACAGATAAAATTTTACACTAGGACTAGACTATCCATACATGGTTGGTCCTCTCCATTAGTAAGTTTTTCATTTTAAATTTTCCTTTAGGGTCATGTAAGGATTAATCCTTTTTAAAAAGTTAATGCTTTAGTACATGACTTAATCTAACTAACTGGGTAATGTTGCTTCACAAGAAATCGTTTGTCTCTTATTCCAAAACTGAACCTATCCAGTTGGGGAAGATGATGGCCCTACTATGTGTAGATAATTGGTGAAGAAAAGGGAAAGAAGGAAGAGAAGATCTCCAAGTCCAGTGGTGCAGTGAGTCCTCTGCTGAAGTCTCTGTTACACTTAACTTCTGAAGCTGGTGAACTCTCGTGGTCCTGTGGGTTCAAGTTTGTAGAGCTCTGATGGTTTTGTTTCTCGAGTTATTATTACATGCCATTGAAGAATGAGGTCTTCGAATTATGTTGAAGCTAACCTTTTTCTCTTGGAGAAATTGCCGGTGATGTCTTTTAATTTAATCTGTGTTCTAAGAATAGTTTTCTTTAAGAGAACAATTCCTCAGCAGTTATGGTAGTTCTTTAGTAGAAACAATAATCAAGTGTATGTACATCCTGTCTCTCTCTGACTTCTGTGACTCTTTCTTAAATTTGCAGTTCAGCAGCAGCCAGCAGGGTACCTCTGGAGTTTTCTGTGTGTCCCAAATGAGAGTAGGACCATTTCTGGGATCACACTGATGCTTCCTTACAGCAGAGTTTCCTGGTGTTTTATGGTGCTGCTTTCAGATACGTCTTCTTTACAACTGTGTTATTCTTGTAGAATGAATTTTGGAAGCTTTTCATTGTGGAGAGTTTTTCTACTATGTGATGATAGGCAGTGGATCAAAATCCAATCCTAAATAATTGAATTTTCAATGTCGTGGTCTGTAGAACTACCACTCCCCTCTCTGTCTTCTCGAATGCTCTGTGTCATCTGCTCCAGCACATATTTTGAACTCCTGTACAGGTGACCATTCCTCCCTTCTCAGTTGGTGTCTTCAGTATTTTATTTAAAAGTGAATTTAAAACTGAATTCGACAAGTGGCTAAAAACTTAGTCCAAGACTTGTACTTAAAACACAGTTAATTATGGAAATAGCATCTGTTTTTAAAAATTACTCAACTGACTGCTCTATAAGACCACACTTGTATGCCAGGAGGCGCAGCAGCCTTCACCACTGGAGTCTTTTCCGGCAACCAAGAGGCCAGTTGCGGCGGATGAAGCTGTCAGGGTAGTCTTGCCCAAGCTTGGCTGGGCCACGGGGAGTGCTCCCCACCAAATGAGTCCAGCTTCCACTGCCCAGCCCAGGCTCCCATCTGGCTGGAGAGCGTCCAGACCTTTCCTTGCCTCAGTGCCACCTGTTTCTGGGCAAGGAGCCAAGAAGTAAATTTTATAAGCAGTGAGTACTTCAGATAAATTTACAAGCTATAGCTGCTGAAGAGTGGAGAAGACTGAGCAGCACTGATTTTAAATCTCCAATGTAAAAGCAATTTAAAGTAACATGTGCACGTGCCTACATATGCCTGTGTTTCTGGGGAGATCTTGGACTAGGAATACAAAGGCATCTGGGCTGCACTTTGAGTGATACACTTGTGCTTTAGTAGATTCACTGTTTTAAATTGTTCATTTTTTCATGAAGGGTTTTAATCAACTAGATCAGGCAGCATCGTTTTGTATTTAACAGCAGAAACTTTGGAACATTAACTTTTAATGAATGTGCTTGCCTTGTGAAGCAAGAGCCTACAGAGGCACCTATACAAATGAAAGTTCTGGCTTTGGAGGCCAGTACTCGGTGGAGTTTCAGAGCAGTCGGTGACCGCTTCAGCCAGTGATTCTAGCTGTGTAGAGGGAGGGTATGCTGTGCACTCTTCCAGGTATGAGGGTGTGCAACTTTGGATCTTAAAAAATTCTGTACACATACACACTTTATATATATGTATGTATGTATGAAAACATGAAATTAGTTTGTCAAAAATGTGTGTGTTTAGTATTTTAGCTTAGTGCAACTATTTCCACATTATTTATTAAATTGATCTAAGACACTTTCTTGTTGACACCTTGAATAAAAATGTTCAAGGGTGCAATGTGTATTCTTTTAGATTGTTAAAGCTTAATTACTATTATTTGTAGTAAATTAACTTTTAAAATATATTTGAGCCCTTCTGTAGTGCAATAGGGCTCTTACAGGGTGGGAAATATTTTAATTTTCTGGTAGCTAATTGAACAAAATGGCTTCATTTTGTGTTTTGGTTTGTAGGAGTTTGCATCTGGATCCCAGGAATATCTAAAGGGGATGACTACTGCAGGCATATTGTGATGATGCTTTAAGAAAGAAAGAACAGCAAACCTGAGTAACTCGGGGGGCCAGAGCGTTTCAAATCTGTAGACTCCTATGACTCATATTCCCTGAATAGTATAGAACACGAATTTCATTTTAACTTCATGTATCAATGTGTTGGAGAGGCAGACTTTTTCCAGTAACAATATTGCACACCAAAAGTTGCTATTCAGTAAAATCAGGAGATACAATCACTGAGTGGCTTGGAATATGCAGTAATAAGAGGCCAAATTAGTCATGTTTGTGAATATACTTTTCGCCCACTCACTGGTAGAGAAATTTGGTTTAGATTTCTGGACTCCAAAACCAAGCTAGCAAATGACAAGAAGAAAGTTGTAAAACTTGGTAAAGGTTTGCTGGAGCTGTGGTTAATTAAAAAGAACTATCTTCAGAAAAGGGAATAGAAAGGCTGTCTGAATCCGTCTTAAATGGAATTTGGTCACAGAATAAGGTGTTCAGGTTAAGTCTTGACCAAGCTGTAATATTTAAAGTGTCCTAAAATAGCAGCCTAAGAAGTCATCACATCCAGAAGTTGATTTTCTGGAAACGTGAGTGTGGACCTGTCCTTGCCACCATTGTTCAACTGAGCATAAATCACCATTATTATTTTTTTAAAGCTGTCTAAATGAGTGTGGAAAAGCTCCCACCCAGAAATTCTAATACTTGGTTCTGGCCTCTTGCAACTTCACGTGGGGTTCCTTTGCAGCTTTTAACCATTGGGATTTTCTGCCTGTTACATTCCTCTCTCCAAAATGCCTATTTGGAAGCGCTGCCTTTCAAATTGATGCCATGATTATCCACTTTGTTGAGTTCGTTGTTGCTGTTCAAGAATTGTCCCCATTTACACATGCCCCTGGCATATCATTGACACGAGTGAACTTTCGACAGTACTCGGGGTGGGGCTCACCAACGGAGCTGGCCGGGGCATCTGCGCCTGAGAAGGCGCCACCTCTGAAGGCCAGGTGTGGAGTTGGTAAGCACAGTTAGGAAGATACTGTATCTAGCCTCCGTTTGGGATGATTTTAAGAAATTTTGTATATGGAGGATGGAAATGCTTATATATTTATTGAAAATCCTTTTATGTTATTTGAAAATTATTTGGTAAATATTTGTTTGATATTTGGGGAGGGTTTTGGAGGGAAGGTAATGCTGTTGATAAATTATAAGCCTGTTGATTGTGCAGAAAGGTACTGTTAGTGACTAATAGGATGCCTTTGTTTTGTACATGATCCAAATCTTTGTTTTTACATTTCTTTTATCCAAAATATTTAGGCATCTGACATTTTCAACCAAAATTTAAATTATATACTGTGATTTTTATTTGTTGCAATACATTTAAAATTTCAGAGGTACTTTGGGGCTCAAAAGCTAGGATTTCTAAGTCAGTACAGTATGTGCATTTCACATAATAAAGCTGTTAATGGTGAGCAAAGTATTATATACTAACTAGATTTTTCCACATCTGTATAGTATATTATATGTATTTTGTGGTATTGAGATTATAGAAAGTTTAGAGTGTCAAACATGCGTTTAATGTGTATTTTTAAACAAATTTATGGCAATTAAAATATTTGGAGACAAGGGTATCACATTTCAATTTGTAAAAATCTTTTTAATTCTGTGTCATTAAGATGCTTTGTATAATGCCAAACCATAGCTGGAGAAACTAAGTTTAATAAATATCAAATAGATTTTCTGTATTAAAGTTTATGAACACTGTGCTCTTTACACTTCTTTAGCTCTCACTGTGCCCTTTTCATGCAATTTTTGTTTGTATTTTTGCGTCCATGCTTTTAAGGGTCCCACTAGTACAGGTCTAATTTTTCTACTTACAGAAATTCTGAACTTGCAGGCAGTGGGTGTAAGATTGGCCTTGTGTGTAGATTACATTTTCCCCACTCCAACAGAAATCTCAAATTCTTTTTGGTGGTGTGTTTGGCCTGGGCTTCTGTTGTTTGATACAGTAGATGTCAGTGCCACTGTAAGTTCAGAAAGTCACAGATAAATAAATGCGCACAGCATCAGGTGGCAAGTGCCAGGCGCCCATCATGATCCCTCAGTGAAAAGTTCTCTCCTTAAGTGTACGGGCCAGGACCCAGGGCCACAACTTAGGAGCTTGCCAAGGCTGATCGCAGAGCTACCGTTAAACGCATACCCTTAACCTGTCATCGTGTTCCTTAGAAGACTTGAAGAATGTTAACTCTCACCATGCTTTCTAGATGGAGAAGCTAACAGTGCTGGGTTTTGGGTTTTTTTTTTTTTTCTGTAGTATGCAAAATCAATTCTTCAAGTTTGAATTTCAGACCACCACAATTCCAATTTGAGTTATTTAATAATATCATAGAAAAATAAACTCTAAACTGATAAATTTAGTTAAGCTTATCCACATAGCAGCATTGTAAGAAAAAATGGAGACCAATTTAAAGCATCTTTTGTCTTTAAATATTAAAAACTTAATATTGCTTCACTTGTGTATCTCCAGCCAAAATGCAGTTAATCAATCAATATTCCATAGAACGGAGCATTGTTGGAGCTGACTGCTGTTCCTTCTTCCCCTGGTATGTACATCATTCCTGGGCCACACTCAGGGAGCACCGTCTTTTTCTAGGAGGGAAAAAAGGTGTTTTTTTATGCCTCAGTTTCAGTGCCCACTTCTGCCACATTCCCTCTTTCGTGGCACCTGAGAGGCTCTTGGCTCTGAGAAATTCTCCATGGAGCTTGCAGCTTAGCCCAGGTGCTGCTCCTCCAGCCCAGTTTTTTTTTTTTTTTCCCCCTCCCATCCCAGATTTATTCTTCAGCCTCTGTGTTTCCTGCTTTTGCCTCTGCCCAGTTTCCCAGGGCCCTGGCCCGGCCTCCACCCAGCTGTGTGGCTTACCTGCATAGCCTCGTGACACACTCATAATCATCCCGGCAGGAGGCTCCAATGGGCCTGAGAGAAACTCCTCTCCAAAATGGGGTCATTCTTCTTGGCCTTCTCTTTGCCGAGCCCAGTTCTGGTACTGGGGAGCTGTCTACCTGTGGAGCAGAGACAGTCACCTGAAGCCTGGAAGCAGTGACCTCCTGCTGCACACCTTCACAGAAGGGCCATGCTCCGGGGACGCAGGCGCAGGGCAGGAACCACCCCTCAGGCCTGAGTCTGGCTCTCAAGATCACTTTGAACCGCACTGCCACCGCTGCGTCCACAAGTACACGTGCATTTCCTTCCTTACCTGGCTCAACAGCAGCAGGCAGAACATGAGCACTGCCAAGAGTTTGAGGTGCCACATCTTGGGAGAGGGAGGATGTTGGAGTCTGAGAGCCAAGGACAGTTACTGCTCCTTTTATAGAGCGACATCTGCCCTCCTCATGGTTGCCAGGTGAGATGGGGGCAAAGTTTATATTTGTAATCAGGATCAATTTGTAAGTTAATGTCTACCAGAGGAATGTGCTCAAGGGCTACTTTCAGGCACATTGTATTTACTGATCCCTCATCTGGACTTTGATTGTGTTGCTGGCCTAGACCCTGTAACCCATTATATCAAAAGTCCACACTGCCCCTCCTTTTTTTTGAACTCCACGTGAAACCCTTGAGGGTGCCTGGGAACCTGGCCACATTTCTATTTTAAAATAGCTCAGCAGACTGGCTGTAACGGAGTGGTAGGGCATGTGCTAAGCATGTTTGAGGACCTGTATTGAATTCCCAGCACATGCACACACAGCCTAAAATAGCTCGGTGAAATCACTAATGAAAACAGTTCTAACAGTAAAGTCTTAAGAAATAAGGTTGAACTTTTTCGGCCTTGTTAGGAAAGGAACCCTGATCTGTCGTGTACTAGTAATGCAGCATGGCCCCCAGCTCCCTTCTGAGGGAGCATACGTAAGCAGAAATACTTCTGTGGCTCCAGCCCTCCGTCTGAATCGATGAGTGTTCACCCTGGTCATAGCACCAGTCCATCCTCCTAGTAGCATGACGACCCAGTTGTACATTCAAAGTATAGCTTATCTGATGCCTTCCAGAACAGCACACAATAGGGTCATGGCCCTTGAGCCATGTAGATCCATAGTTGAATTAGATTGAATGTAGGGTCCCCCCTCACCACCACCCCTCATACCAGGGGTCGAACTCTGGTCTTTGAGCTTGCAAGGCAGGCGCTGGAAACACTGAGCTAAATCCCGGGCCCACAGGGGTTTTGTTTGTTTTGTTTTTTAAATGAATGGAAAGGTAATGAGCTCCTAAGTCAGTAGGAGAGGTTGGGAAGCGACAAAACACTCAACGCAGTAGTTGAGTGAGGCCTTGGCAAGATATTTCCTTCCAACAGACCGGCATTGGGCTGAGATAACTCCAAAGTCTAAAACATTCATTAGGTTTAGTAGGAACCAGTTCAGGTTTCTAGATCAAGAGAGGACATAATCTCAATCATGAGTTGCCGGGGGGTGGTGACAAACCTGTGACCCCAGCCCTCGGGAGGGAGGCTGGAGCAAGAGGGTTGTTGTGAGTTCAAGGCTAGCTGAGCTACACAGTGAGACCCTGTCTCAAACCCTAAGTAGCGTGGGTTCTCATTAAATGACACAATAATCATCCCCAGTCCTGTGGCCAGGCAAAGGGTGGCTCCTGATAAGGTGAGATAGGGTGAGGATGGACCTCAAAGCTGGGATTGGGTGGGATGTGACTGCAGATCTGCCTGTCCTGGTTCCAGTCCTTGGGATCATGGAGCTGGGTTGGAAAAGGGACATTGCTGCTTGGACTTAAGAACCACTGAAAAGTAGATCTATCTACCAAATCATCAATCCTACAAATTCAAGATTGGTTAGCTGCTCCCTTTATCCTTGAGGTTGGTTGCTGAATGAACCCAGGTAGGGCACTAATAAAGGCTTTCTGCAGGGTTGAGGAGAGGCCATGTGGTCACCCAGTGAACATTGAGTAAGAACACAAATCCGATTAGATAAGCAAAAGACTGAACAACGTGATGTCCCAGAACCAGTTGGGTCCATGGGTTCAGCACTAGCCTGTCTTTCATCCGCCTGCAGTGACATGGCACCCAGCCAAAAGACGAATCCCCTCATCCTCTATTCTACCTTCCTGCATTCCATGCAGTATCACTGGTAAATTCTAAAGCCAATACCACAGCAAGGAAAGAGCCTCAGCCCTGCACACCCTGTGCATGAGGAAAAGTTCCATGCATCCTCACAGTGTGCTAACATCACTGGACCCTTAAGGGCTTCCGGCTCACTCTTGGGCTCAGTATAGGAACCACTGCTAGGGCAAGTATCTCAACATCGAAACAAACTAGTTGTTTTACATTAAATATGGAGGAAAAATCAAACAGAAGCAAAGCAGCATCCAGGCAGCAGACAAGCTGATGGGACAGGCCCTGCCCGTAGCTTTCCAGTTCTTGAGACTGAAGATCTGCTCCTAAAATTTAAGAAATACTTTAAAGTTCACAGTCTCTCTGCAGTCACATGCTTCCCTCTCTAGTAAAAAGGCCTCAGTCATAGGAAAGAATGGTTGGGAGGCAGGAGCCTAGGGTCTCTAGTACACCTGACCATAGGCCACCTTCAGTCTCCTGTCAGATGAGAGTAGATCTCAGGTCTCCAGCACTGATATTTGGGGGTCCAGATGATTAATTTACAAGAAAATGAGACACCTTGATAGCTAAGGCCTTGGTCAGTCTGGATGCAAATTGGGGGACTTTCTGCTTCTGAGGTGCCCAGGATGAAATGGGAGAAAAACAGCGCAGACATATGAGCAGCTGTTTGAATTACATTCCACGTGGAGAGGAGATCACGAGGACTTGGTAGTAATTGGAAACTTGTTATCTGTGAGCAGGAGGTGCCTAATAAAAGATGAACGACTTGGAAATGGAAAAACTTCCAGGTAAAATTTTGCTGGCTGGTGCTGGCAGATTTCTGGGCCTACATGTTGGGCACTATGTTGGGAGAGTACAGCTCATAAACACCCCACCAACTAGAAGCACTTGGGGAGGAAGAAGGGGTACATGGGACAAGGGCTCGTGCCACGCAGCCAGTGAAGAGAGCCACATAGGGCTGAGCGCCAGGTGGAAGGTTTGTTAGCATCGAGCCCCACAGCAGGTGCTCGCCCTTAAAAAGCTTTACTCAGGTTCTCTGCAGATTTCAACAAATACAATGGCCTGCAGAATGATCCAAGGACTCAACGTTGTACAAGAGCTCCGAGCTGCAACTCACCACATTCCACATACCCAATGCCGCAGCACCCCTGCACAGATCCATGGGCCATCCTCAGGAGCCCCCTAGCAAGACAGGCCTAAAGCAGGCTTCGTTTTAGCCACAGGAACCTTACTACATCAGACGGCTTAGACCAATCAGGGTGGCTTCCGTGGAACAGTCCTGGGATAAAAGGGACCCAGACCAAAGGCTCAATAGCTGGTGTGTAGCTACTTTGGTTCTTTTGCACTGGTAACTCCAAAGGAATCAAAGAACTAGAGACAGTTTGCAACAACCAGGAATGTGGAAGAGAGCGCCCATGTCCTCTAGAAAGCTTGGGCACAAAGACCTTAACCACCTGTCCAGCAGTGGCCCTCTCCTGGCCTGGGGCCCTACCTGAGTACTGCAAGGTAAGGATAATGGCCTTTGGGTCCAGAGCTTTCATCAGATTCTCAAAGGAGTCTATGACCCGAACATGTTGTAATGCCTGGCAACAAGACCTGGGAATAAATCTAGACAAAATGCTAAATGGGAAAATGACCCTGGCTGAGGCCCAAGATATCCTCAGATATCTGCCATCAAGCTATGTCACCATCACAGATACAAACATTACTCATTGCTCCATGGTAACCTAAGGGTTTTTATTATTTTTATCGTGTGTGACAAATGTAAGGCTCAAGAATGCAGGTTTCTTACCTGTATCAGAAAAAATAGGTGACAGTTTAAGGGTTTGCACCCATGATTGTCAGACACGGCCACCCTCACATCCCGCCTATCAATGCAGTTTATCTTGTGGATTTTTTTTTTTGCTGACATAATTTTGGTTCCTAAAAGCAACAGCAGTAATTAGAAAACAGGCACAGCCTGTGCCTGCTCATGTAGACTGTGTCAGTTGCTGCAGACTAGTAGGGAGTATCCTATCCTTAGACATTCCTAAAAGTGGTACAGAGCCAGAAGCGTACCACTGCCAACCACACCTAGCCATAGTACCCTTTCCCTTCTAGTGAAGGGGAAATGGCACCTTTTCAACTAAAAAGGTAACTCAGAGGCTCTGGAGCAAGGGCAAACTTTTCCCAGGAAGCATATTTTAGGCTGAATGGTCCATAGGCTGTTGAGACCTGCTACAGAAGTAAAGGAATCGCCTCATCTCATTTCATAGCTGATTTTTCGGACTAAGCAGAGCCTGCCTTAGGAGCAAAGGCAGTTTAAGTTTTAAGAACATGCATTGGTCCCGGATTTGCCCATTCACGGGCAAAATAACGTAACGTATTCACTGCTGAATAATGTAAGGCAAATTACTTAACCTGTGTCTGTTTCCCCTTCTGCAAAAGAGCAATACTGGTACTTAAAAGCTAAGCTTAAAACTGTATTTGTATGGTTTAGGATACCTGACACACAGTAATTACTGTTTAGTTACTACGCTTTGTGGCTATAATGGGAGCAGAGGGCCAAACACCAACACTCGCCACAGACCGCACCACCCAAACTGGTGAGCAGAAGTAGCTGCAGGTACTTTCTTGAAGGTCAGGGTAAAGGGTAAGCCCACTCCTTCACAAAAACTCACATTAGGCAGAACTGGTCAGGACTCATGCTGAGGAGGGGGTCCTGTGTGAACTTAAATATTAGCAGTCACCAAGTATTCTGCTCACAGAACTGCGAAGTCACAGCACGAGGCCCATAGGAAGTTTATTGTGTCTTCTAGAAATTACAAGACATACTCCTCTCACAAAGTCTTTCAGAAGCAGCAACTGTCTCACAGATGGATTGCTCATTTGTCATTTTCATAGTCAGCTGGGTTCTTCCTCTTGGATTTCTCAAATTCCTCGGTCCCCCATGTGTAGAGAAGATAAAACACTACAAATGCTTTAAAATTCAAAAGCAAGAGAAAGCATAAATAAGACACAGTTCTCAGTCCTCTTTATGTCTTTCTGTTACTCTAGCTTCTCAAATACAGTACTCCTTAGAAGTTGCAGCATCAAGAAAGGTTTAGAAGGGGCTGGAAATTTAGCTCAGTGGATCCATGCTTGCCTTGCAAGCACAAGGACCCGAGTTCGATCCTCAGTACCAAAAAAAAAAGGGGGGGGTTTAGGTTACAGACCTATTTTACAAATAACCAAAAGAAAAGGTTCATCCAGGAAAATTTGGCACCAAGTCCTCTCCATCTCTTTCCTACTGCACACTGAACACTTTTTTGAGACAGACAAGGTCTCTAAGATTGTGGCGATCCTCCTTCCTCAGCCTCCCAAGTGCTGGGATTACAGGCATGCACCACCACTGCTCAGCTTCTAGAAAAAAATTTTCATGAGATAACTGAGATCAAATTCACCTAACATAGATTTCACCATTTTAGCTTGTTGTGTTCAAGGTCAGCCTGAACTACACAGATTTTGTCTCAGTGTGGGGGGGGATATATATTTAAAAGTATACACTTCGCCAGACGTGATGACACATGCCTGTAATCTGAGCACTTGGGAGGCCGAGGCAGGATCGCTGTGAATTTGAATTTGACGCCGGCCTGGGATATATAATGAATTCGAGGCCAGTCTGAATTACATAGTGAGACCCTGTCGCAAAACAAAAATCGTACACTTCCGTGGTTCGTAGCATCTTCACGATGTTATGCAACTGGCAGGCATGGCCTGCAGCACATCTTACACGAGACAGTTCGTCACTGATAAGGGGATAAAGATGACCTCGCCGTGAGACGGTGGAGTCACGCGAGCGGCCGTTCCCGCATCACGAGACGAGCTCAGCGCTGTCGGCAGAGTCCCCGAGGACGGCAGCCCTCCCGCCACCCGCCCGGGCACTCACGCGGGGCCACGCGCAGAATGGAGCCCTGGGTGCGGCGCAGCACATTGGGGATGCCCTTGCTCAGGAGGTTCGGCAAGGCGCGCTGCTCAAAGGGCGACAAGCTGTAGGTGATGACATGCCGTATCCGCGTCAGATTCCCAAACTCGCGGCCCATGGCTGCGGCGGCCCTGCAGAATCAAGGTCGGGACGAAGGCTCAGCCTCGAGACCG